CACCACTCACTACAGGGCCGGCTGGCGACCCCACCCGGAAGCCCCGGCTCTAAGCCTGCGACTGACCAGCTGGAGCCAGACCCGACGGAGCCTGTGTGGCCCTGGCTCAGTGCACAGCCATCGGAGCCCCAGCGGGGGGCACCGGAGAAGGAAACAGATGCTGTCGGTGCTGCAGAAGAGCGGAGTGTACGGGATGGTGCCTCAAGGGCACAACCAGAGGGATGGCCGAGCACTTCCACGGCAGCGGCCAGCGTGGCTCAGGGCCACGCAGGAGTGTCTGAGGGCCATCCTCCCCCACTCAGCCTGATACGCAGTGACACCTGGCTTTACCGGGACAAGACAGGGACCAGGGGGCCGCCTCTGATGGCTGAGCATCCACAGGTTTGCTGTCACACCTGGGGGGTGGGGGGCACGCACAGGGAAGGCACCCACGAGGCTGCTGATTTAGACCAAATGCAGCAAGAAGCGGGCCTGTACCCAGGTGGCACAGAGACTGAGCCGCAGAGCTTTCTGGGAAGAAAGTGCACACATGACTGTCAAATACCAGGGGAGAGCACAGAAGAGCAAAGGGGCTGGGGCCAGAGTGCACACCGGCGGTCCCACCAGGGCAGGCACCAGCTGGGTCCGAGAGTGCCTGTCGCGGGCCTCTGTGCTGTGAGCACCCGGCCTCCGGCTGTAGCTGCCCCCCACCTTCTCGAGAACAGCCGATGCTCCAGCACTTACCTTAAGGCTTGGACGAGGTTCAGATCAGCAAACTCATGGAGCTCGACAAACGCTTGAAGAACTTTAATGTTGAAATCGTCCCTGGGAAAGAAAGCAAATGTGGTCCGAGGCCACTGCACAGGATTTCAATCCTTTCAAAAGGAAGACATTTCCTACAGCAAATGTTTGTGGTTTTTCATGCCGCGTAACTCAAAGTTAGGATCGGCGTGACGGCACGTCTGGTCTCAGGCTTCGGGCAGAGGGGACTCGACAGGACATTAGTTTACATCACAGTCAGTGCGGCCAGGGTAGGGAGGCCGTCGGGACACCCCAGGCGGCTGCCACAGCCATGCCCAGGCCCTGCAGCAGCACAGGGCCCAAAGGGCAAGATGCACGTGGTCTCCTGAGTTTCCTGAGCAGTGGCCTCCGACAGCGTCCATGCTTCACAGGTGGGCTGAGGGGGCCCAGTACCGGGTCCGAAGCTGGGTCAGTTTGGAAGAGCTTTTAAAACCAAACTAAGCGTGAGAATAAAGGGCCTGAACTTTTACATAAACGTGAAAGAGGCCAACAATGTGCTTCGCTGGGACTGGGATTTCACTCCACACTGCTTCCCCAGGTTATGGTCACAAGGGACAGTAAGGACACCTCAGGCAGAGAAACGCTGTAGCTGCCACAGGGCGATGTGGCCTCGGCAAGGCCGCAGCCACAAGTCAGGGGTCCGCCTTCCCCTCGGGGATGCCAGGCCAGTGCGCCATCAGTCAACCACAAGGAATGGCTGTGGCTCAGCGCCACCAGCAAAGGGAACCCCGGCAGCCACCCGCAGGGCTGCGCGCGGCACAGGCTCAGAGCACTTTACCCTCCTTTCCCTGACCTCAGCGGCCGGCCGGGGGGAAGCTGCTGAGGCCCTGGGGTCCTGCGCACACGGGGCACTGATGGAGCGCCCCAGGAAGCAGCGGGCTCACGGCCCATGAGCACCAGTGACAAAGCCCAGGGAGCAGGCCCAACACCACAGGGGTTAGCCAATGGCCTGATGAGATGGCACCAGGGTGCCAGAAAGGGCATGGTCCCGGTGGGAGCACCCCAGGAATGGCAGCAGGCAGCCAGGTTAGAGCCACAGGGGTCTGCGTTAAAGGCAAACCCCCACCCACTGTCCCAACTGCCTCCTGGCAAGAGGACAGCCGGGTTATCACACGCCCCCAGGGAAGGAGCTGGGGGCCTCCAGACCCGAGGGCGGGACCAGAGAGGGCAATCAAGCCCTACTCCAGCTGCCTATTTGTCCTCCCTCGAGGGGCGCTCCCGAGGCTCAGTCCTGGGTCTACTCTTCAGCTCCAGCCACACTCCCCATGGATTTAAACACCACCTCTGAGCCAGCCACGCTGGGGCTTCTGTCTCCTGCGGGCCCCTTCTCTGAACCTTCCACCTGGATGCCCCCCCCCCAGGCCCCCAAGGGGTCAACC